GTACAAATAAAAAAACTAATTAAATTAAATACTATTTTTTTGTATACGAAAAATATGAAAAATAAAACAAAAAAATTTTTTATATTATTTGCTAGATCAATGAATATTTTTATTATTTCTATTAATTTGAAAAGTGTGTAAATGTGTGTATATAGTGTGAGTGCCATTAAAATACGAAACGAAAAATTTTGATTACGATGTTTGTCAAAACAAATTATGATTATCAAGATGTGAAGAATTTATTACTTGAAAATTTATTCCGTTTCCTTTATATAAATATATTGTATATTTAGTATATATATACTCGTTTGTATGTTATATAGGTGCACCTACCATGTACATATGTACCTATATACAACCTGTATACAGTAAAATGTACAATTCGTGTATATACACAATTGAATGAATATTTTCTTTTCATATTTAAGTAAATTTTTGTCCAATAAAAGATCCTTTTGCTGTAATATTGAAAATATTATTGTTAAAGGAGTTTCCAAGCTTTTTAAGATATAAAAAATGAAAACAAAACAAAACAAAAATCAAAAAATTTTATCCATTCGAGCTTCTCTTTTATCTATTCCCCAACGAATATAATTAATACTGGACACTATTATACTGTTATACTTTATGCATAAACTATTTAAAAAGATCTTTAAAAAGTACAAAATTTCCTCATTTTTGGGAACCCTTTTCTGTTTTTTTTTTGTTTTTTTTTAGAAAACCTAAATAATATCGTAAATATATACAAAATCAAAGGCAATTTATATGACGATCTAATATCCTTTTGATTATGTATACTTGTGTAGTACTATTGAAATATTGACTTCTACACGTTTATATTTGAATAAATTTCAACCTTTTAACCTTTTCAAGTTTAAATCCTACAACAAAAAAAAAAAAACAAAAACAAAAAAGAAATTTATTATATCAAGGGTAAAATTTTGTATATTTTGTTTGCTTTCATACACATCACTGAATTATACTTCATGTTTTTTTTTTGTATTTTCCGTATAATAAAAAATTAGGCTTTTCTCCTCCACCCATCCCTTTAAAATGAAAATGTTACGATAGATATTACAATGGGTGTGTCAGCAGAAAAATGTTATACACCACTTACAACACAAAAAAAAAAAAAAGAAAAAATAATAAAAACAGCATTTAGAGGAGGAAAAACAAACACAAGAAAAAAACGAGAGACGCATATAATATAGAAATATAATATTTATGTTCCGATTCCCACATACCATATACACATAAGTATATATAAAGTACATTTTGTATATACATATACCTATACATGCAAATGATTTTTATCGTTATATTATGGCTCGTTTAATCTTTTTCCAGTCAAATCTTAAATATTTTTTTTCAAAACGGTATATACCAATTAGTGATCCATTCAAAAGAGATCTTTAAGGATATTATAGACTGGCAAGAAATAACATTGAATTTTATTATAATATTTACAACATTCATATGTATACATATATATATATATTTATACAATATTTATAGAGACGTACATATATAAATATATTACATAAGAACAGAATAATATATAAAATTTAAGGATAATTCAACTAACACAATTCATAATATGATAAGGGAATATATTCACTCAGCAGCTTACAAACTTATAAAATTTTTATTCATATTGTTTCTAAATTTGCAAATTTTTTTCAAAGAAAATTTTCTGAAAGTAAAATAATTTTTATTAAATAATTTTCAATTTAGAGACAAGAACAACTCATTATAATATTTGTAATTAATTATTAATTAGTTTACCTTGTAGATTCAAAACAACAGAGTGACAATGTATCTAGAATATCCTCTTAAAATCTTTCAAGATTCGAGTAAATCTTTTCAAAAAATCTGGAATCCATACTAATCCAAATGTCACCAATTAAATGAAAAATCACTCTTAATATTCTTTATTAACTTTGACTAATTGTTGTAAATTTCACATTATTTCAGTGTTTCAGAATAAATTTATCATGTCTATATCTACAAACAAAAATCAAATTTGAGTTACATAATAAATTGAAAAGCAGGAAACAATATTAAAAAAAATGATTTTGTATGATTGAACCATTCTTAATATATTCTACTTTCACTCAATTTTCAGGAATACCACATTGAAAATATGCTAATCAAATTTGATAAAAAAAAGTATTCCAAATTTAAGAACCATTGAAGTTCAACAATGTGTGTATAAATAATATTTCAGGAAAATTTACACATTTTTTTTTATATAGATAAATTTACCATAGATTATTATTCTACATATATGTATATTTGTTCACAAAAGGAACATCTGTAAAAATATTGAAATAAGGAAAAAATAAGTAAATATTTATAAGGAAATTCTATTAAATACCTATAGTAAGTAATTTTATAGATTTGCCAGAGTGTTGAAATGGAAATTTTTTTTTGTATAAAAAAAAACATCAAATAAAAATATAAAAATTAAAATGTACGTATAATTTAAATTAGATTTAGGGTTTTCGATTTAAACATATTTCAATCAATTAATATGATAATGGTAAAAAGTTAAAAAGGATTCAGGGAAATTAAAAAAAAAAATTAATTCTTTTTGAATAGATTAAAGGATATGAAAATAATATTTTTGTATATACAGAGTGTTCAATTTCTAAGATCACTGCCGTATACAATTTCAAAAAATCTTATATGACTAGATTCTTGTATACAGACAACATTTACAGCTCAAAATTGTTCCGGAATGATAAGTTTTAAATTGAATTGTTAGCTTGGACTCGAATCAATTATGAAATTTCAAACAATATAAGAAAAACTTAAGTTATATTTATCAAAATGTTCTTTAATAAATATTTATTCATTAATTGATTTACCATAAAAATATTGATTTGCATGTCAATAGTAACTCATCTTTTCAGAGTGCGTGTCTATATATTGACACAGTATTAATTAAAGGAATATCAAATTAAAACTATAACGGCTCAATTCAACTTTGCAAATTGCAAAGGAAGGGTATAACAGTACAACACCCCTCAAGACCAATCTTCTTGATAAATTCCCGCAGGGAAGGCCCGCAGACCACAACTCCGCCAGAGGGTGCCTATAGTTTCCCCTATTTCCAATTCAACTTTAAAACCTTTATATAAATTATAAAAACCTTTATTCTGTACTTATCGAAAAAAAACGGGTTAATAAAAACATATGAATTTGAGAGAAAATAATTGATGAAAAAGGATTAATATAATCTTATTACATAATATAATCTTCAAATATTTCATAAAATAAAATTGATATATTTTCAAAAGAATAAAAATTGAAATATTGCAAAAAAAATCATAATCATGTATACCTACGTAAATCCATATCATGTATACGAGTACATACAAAATAAGGTTACGATATACTGTTCAAGTTAAGTCAAATATGAAAATATCGTAGGTTTACTAAGAAACCTATACTGTATCATCAATTATTGTTATCTACTCCCAAATAATTTTTAAATTTAAATCTCTTACATATGTATGTGTATCATTAATTTCAATAAATAAGTAAAATTTATGGAATAGGATAAAAAAAACAATATATAGAGTTCCATGAAATATTTTTATAATGATATTTTAATAATACTCTAAGGAATTTAATTTTGTTAGGAATAATCTTCTATTAATACATCAAATATTTGAATGGAACTCATCTCAATTTTTTAATAAACTAAAAGATTACTGATTGATTTTAAAATAATTATGTATATATGTACATAAATGCAGTTTTCCACCAACCTATAATAATCCTATAAATAAATGTCTAATATTCTATAAGCCAATAAAGCAATAACTTTTGATATTTCATCAAAAAAAAAAATGAAACCATAAATCGTCACGTTCTTTAACATTAAATTGTCATTTATTTGGCCTAACTTGTCATAAAATCAAATTTTACTTTATTTCTGACCACAATATCCTATACAGTAGCAAAATAAATTATGTATAACACAATATATAAACATAATATACGCTCCTATATACCTACATTATGTATATTAATATCTTTTATATTTTTAAAATTAAGGATTCTGTCTATGAATTCATAAAAAAGTGGCTATTCATTTTTTATTTTACATAGACACATATATTTTGTAACATATTTTTCAAAAGAATCAAAATGGTATAGCATATATATGTACATACATATATATATACATAAATATCATTTAATGAGATATATCCTTGGCCTATGTTGAAAGGACGATTGCGATTATACTATTTCTTTTTTAGAATACTTTATAAATAAAATAATATACTAATTTACGATATACTTATATACACAGCTATTTTTGTATATTTGTAGAAACAAATAATATTTTGATATTAAAAATATTCAAAGGCTAAATTTATATTTAAAAAAAATAAAATAATATGAGAGCACGTTTCCAAGCAAATATGCAAGAAATTGTAAAAAATTATTGTTTTTTTTTAATGACTTGTTTGATTGTTGTATTTAATTTTAAGATAATTTTATTTCTAGAATGATAAGAACGATTTGCAAATGAATTGTAGTTAATTTCAACAACAATATGGCCAAATTTGAATGATGGAAACACGGAATGTATTACTTTATCTTAAATTACTCCGGAAAATATTATGTAGAATTGAGAAAATTAAAAAAATTTTTTCATATTTTGACTTCAATAAGCTCACAGCTATAGTTGATCTATATCTCAATCAATAGTTGATCTATATCTATAACGAAATCAACTAAAAACTGCGTTACTGAAATAAAAGTACTTTTAGACTATACTCCTATTATAACTTACTTTATAAAAATAATTTCGTAATATTGATAAAATAAAAACTTTAGGACATATCTTAATTTTTAATGGGAAATCAATAGAAAACATATTTAGTTTTAATATAAAATTTTAAAAATACTTAAATACATTTTTTTAAACCTAGTATCATATTATTTTCGACGCATACTTATATAAATATTTTTTTTTTGCTTAGATCAATGCGAGAAGTTCGTGCTCAACAACGGCGTCAAAAACAGGAAATGAAACAACAAAAATTACCAGCTCCTGGTTTACCATTACCACAAACTTCAACATTAAGAGCACGTAGAAGATTAGCAAATATGTTAGTAGCTGCTGCTATAATATTTGTAGGCTGTTGGACTCCCCATGTTTTTTGTATATTATGGTCTGAATTTGGTCATAAGCAATATTGTAATATAACAATGTCATATGCCAGTTTATTATTGGGTAAGTACTTCAATTTAACTACAAAAAATTCATTACTTTTTTGAATAACGTTAAATATTTTAGTTCATACTATCGTTTAAATAAATCTCTGTTGTTCACTTCCAATTTAACAACACCATATTCAAAGATTTTTATATATAAATTTTTTTAATAATTTAAATTTTATTTTTTCGTCATCTAAAAACAAAAAGGTTATACACATTCAGCTATAAATCCAATAATATATTGGATATTAAATTATAATGCGTTAAGACAATCACCTTGTGCACCATTCATGCATATAACAACAGTTCAGAGATTCTTTAGGACACATTTAAGGCCAACAGCCCCAGCTCCACCATCATCAACCAATGAAGCAGCACTTGGTGCATTCAATCCAAGGTATATTAAAACAACACCGAAGCAATATAGAGCACAAGCTTCTTCTCATTATTTATATTAATGAATTTTAAAAATTTAAATTTATAAAAAAAACCACCGACTAAAAATTATTTAAAGACTGAAGAACTACAATGTCCAGTTTAAAGTATATAATATTAAAAGAAACCAATAAAAAACCAAATAACTTGAAAAGCAAAAAATCAAAAATTATAGCTGCAAATTTAAGCTGGTATAACGTATACTCTCTTATATCACTAAAAATGAAGGATGCACCATATGTTATAAGATATGTACAATATTCGCTATGTTATAAAATAATTGAAAAAAAAAAATGATGGTGAAATCGAAAAAAAAATTTCCTTACCTACGTAACATAAATATATGCACTAAACTTTTCAATTACTTCTCTCACCATCGTTATAATGTTCCAGAAACTTTGAAATAAAAAATAGTTAACAGACATGCAATCAATTAAATAGAAACTTTTCTAAAACTAAAATACTTAAGTGAGTAATTTTCTTTTTGTTTCACATTTTTTACTTCAAAAACAAAAAAAAAGGATAAATAAAGGTTTAACCATATTTAATCTTCAATTTCATTTACAACAAAAACTTTGCAACAAGTATAATTTATATAATAATACAAATATAGTAATAGTTGTTAAGGTCATGTTAATAAATGTAATTTCATAATTTAATATCTTGATGATTTTATAAGTTTTCAGAGTATATTTTGTCTTATAAATGAATATTATGAAGCAAATCAATTAATTAAAATTCAGTGGTCTTAAGGAAAACTTGCTAAATTCAAAAATATTGTTTGAAATTAGATGAAACACGGATGTATCACAGCTAGTTCTGAAAACACAGCTAAGAGTGTGAAGATTTTCTTATATATATATTTTTAAAATCGATCATTTTTGGAAGATTATACCTACTATAAATTTAATTATTTTTTAATTTCATTTGCTTGGCTTATCATTGACGAAATTATTATTGACGATATAAGCAATTTTTTCAACCTAGACAGTTTCAACTTAGACAATAAGGGAAAAATTTGATTTTGCCTAAAGTTCGAATGCTTTGTGTTCCAAAGATACATATAATACAGAATCAAGCAACATGTTTATATTAAGCCCTTTACTAGGTCTTTCAGAAGCTGTTTGTTTGAAGTCCCTATCTTTTTCGGAACGGAATCAGTTATAATCAAACTTGAATAAGTAAAAATTTTGTAAAAATTCGTTAAAATCCCTGGAACTCGGAAACCCTTGAGATTTGGCACTCAGTCCGGAACAAATGTTTTACTCATTTTCGATCCTCTAACCAATGGAATATGTTGTCGTATACCTTTCAGAATCACTCTGTATAATGACTTTCTTTAACAAGTAGTTACAACCTACGTAATCTAATTTCATAAGATTTCATTTATAGACCACATTTCGTAAAAATTTAAATAATTTTATAAATAATCATAAACTCTTAAAATCTATAAAATCAAAATTTTACAAAATTTTTCTTTTAATATGATTTCACCATCATTTTATTTTACAGTTATGTTAATTTTTAATATTATTCATTACAATTTACCGTAATTATAATTTAGAGGTGCTTTTTAGTACAATTTCTGCTTGAATAATAAAAGTTTCATTGTATACCATCATTATTTTATAATTTTACAATCATAAATAATTTATATTAAAATTTTGAATTAACAAAATAATTTTTAACAGTATGTTTTCCAAAATAAATTAACTTTTATTGACAGACCAAAAAAAAAATGCAAAATTAATTTACATAACATTAATATTTAGTATAGTAAATTAAAATTATATTTCTTAAATAATAATTAGCTAAATAATTATTAAAGCCTATATATAAAAATTAATTAAATTAAAATTTAAGTACATAAATTAATTAAATATTAAATTCTTTAATATCTTTGGTATGTGACTGCAACTAAATCAAATTAATGCATGTGTAAGATTTCTATAAATTTTAAAAGTTTTGGAAAATTTTTAGCTACAAAATATACGGAACAAATTTGACGAATTCTAAAAACAAAAATATTATTCAAATTTTATTAAATATTAAATATTTTGACAGAGAATGAATTTTGCATGATTTCACATTTGAATTTAAAGTATATCCTTTTTTCTACATAAATAACTAATATTAAAAATAAATAACCAAAATGAATTGTCAACCGAAAACAAATTTTTCAAACCGCATTAACGTGATTTAAAATATTGCAGTCACATATGTACGTATATTTATCTAGACTAAATGAAATCCTTTTGAAAATTTCAAATATAATAGTTTTATGGTTTTTAAGTCTTTAATATTACGTGCATTAATATAATACGTTATTAATATTAAAAAATTAAAAAAAATTATTGAAAATATAAAAATAATTTTTCATTTTCTTCGTATGAAATGTAGATATACATAGAAAAATATTAAAATTTCTTAATATACAAGATAAAATTTTAATTTTAAAGCATAAATCTCCACTAAAGAGAATAATTTTTAAATATAACTATCGAAGACAATTAATTTCATCATTTGATGCCTACTGATAATTTATTAAATCATTTATAAAAATTGGCTTAAAAATTTTATAATTATTGAATAGCAATCATAAAAATATTTCAAATTATTTGAACAAAATAACTTGGAATTTATTTGTACTAGAATAAATAATTGTGCTTATTTAAAAAACTTATTTTCTTAGCTTATTTTAATTATTACTTTTGAACAAAATACAATATTTATGCGAATATAATTTATCTAAAAGAACATTATATGATAAAATTATGATATTTTAAAATTTTACTTTAATAATCATTGAATTTTTAAAATGTCTTGATAAAATTTTATAATTTTTAATCGCCTTTAAATCAAATTCTAAGTGCTTACCATATGCATACTCAAATTATATCAGTTTAAATACAAACATATAAAAAATAAGTGTAACAGTTATACTTGGATAATTTTTAGTACAAAATATATCTACCTACCTACTTACATATATTTACATAATAATAATAGTTAACACACAATATTAAAATAACTATTTGGAGATTATGTGCTTTAAAAGTCTACAATTTTGCAAAATACAAAAAATTATAAAAATGTTGTTCTTTATTATACTCATATTTATATATTATTATATGATTACAATATTACATATATATTGAATATAATTATGTATATATAGATAAGATAAAATATATATTACCTTAGATACTCACTTTCTATATAATATAATGTTATTGTATTGATATATTGTTATAATTTAAAAAAACATTTAACATAAATGTAAGCACACAAATTTTTATTGAAAAAATGAATTAAATAGGAAAACAAAATCAACAGGTACAACAGGTACAAGCATATATATCTATGAAATACATTAATTAAAAATAAACTTTGGAAAATATTTATTCTGTAACTTGTGTGAACATAAATTTCTTTAAAATATTTTTGCTTTGTTTCGATTATTAATACCTTTAAATTTTTTATAAAAGTATGCTTTACCTGCAGTTACAACTGCTCCTGTCTCTATAAAAATTACAGATTATATTCCTTAGAAGGTCTTTCAATATATCTAATTATATATTTAATTATAATTATATTGAAATGATTAAAAATATTTTATTTCGCCTTGATGATTGGCGAACTTTTCTTAAATTCCTGAATTTGTAGCACACAATAAAATTATATAAATATCAATATATCAATATTATGTACTTTTTTTTTTAAAAATATAATATTTTTTAAAATCTAATCTCATTCCTATATACCGATTACAATTAATAATTACCATATTTTGTATAATTATTCAATTTAAAACTGTGATCTTTCCGAATATTTCAATTTATTCTGTGATTTTCAACTTTTAGTAAATTATAGCTACTCGTAAATTATCAAAATAAAGAAAACCTACAAAATTAATTAAGATTAATTCTGAAATGAATTTATTAATATGTAAGTACATCAATTATTAACTATATCAAATTTGATTTAATAAGAAAAGTCACAAAAATCTTTCATTTTCTAACACTTTATATGTGTAACATAAATAAAACATAATATATTCACAATAATTATATTTAAAAATGCGAGAAAGAAATTATTAAAATTTTTACACGGAAATTACAAAAATTTCGTTAATTCGCACGAGCAAATGGAACTGATAAAAATATTTTCGTTAAATTTATTTACGCATTATTATAAAATGTTATTTTTTAATATTTTATTTATTAAACCTTTTAATTTTATGCTCCTAAACTAATATTATGTTATAGTTTCAATAATTATGAAATAAACTACTATACCTTACTTCATCACAACAATGATTATTTTACAATCAATATTAATTATAATTTTATAATTAATATAATTATAAAATAATATTATAATTTTATATAATTAAATTGATAAAAAAAATAGTTGTTATATGTATAAATAAGTCTCCAATATGATAGATTTTTAATTTAATTTCTTTCAAGTAAGTGAAACTCATAAAGAATCAAAATTATATAGAAAATCGTTTCCCAATGCAGACAGGCATATTTTTGCTTGTTGGACGTATATGTATGGTTTGTACATCAACCTGTTCGATTATTCAAACTTTATCATTCATCAACTTATTTGCTCGACTATCCATTTCAAACATTGTTGTATAAACAACAAATATTCCGTGTAAAATTTTAATCATAAATATTGGAAGGAATGTAAAATTTCTTTTTTAAAATTTTGTGTATAATTAACCTGTGGTGTTAGAAAATTAATTTGATGCAGTGAATTTTTTCAAAAAAAAAAAGAAAACAAAATAAAAATCAAATGTGTTTATATATAAATAATAAAAATATAAAATAACTATTTCAAAAACTAATGAGCAATCAAATAAATTTTATTGTAAAAAAAATATAAAAACAAGAAAAAAAAAACTTCCTTTAAAAATACTTATTAATAAAAAATTAAATTTAAAACGGTTTTCTAAATACAACTAAAATGTTTCTATAGTGCCTAAAAATATGTAAAATCCTTATTAATAATAAAATTATTAAATTAAATATGAATGTATGTAAAATATACTAATATTAATAATTTTTATTAATATATATACTCATAAATTACAAAATATTTTAAGAAACTAACTAAAAACGTTACTAATTTAGCACAATGTTAAACAAAAGAATAAACTTTTTTCTAAAATGCTGTTAAGAAAAAAAAACTATTAATACTGTCACAATTTGATTTTTAAAATTTTATTTTATATAGTACAATATTCAAAATACAATAACTGTTATATATTTTTTATAAAATAAAATAGAGCACTTTTATAGAAATGAATTTAAATTTCAAATCAAAAATTACATATAATCTAAGTAAAAAATCAAAGTTCAAAAAAATTAAATTTCAATTATTTGTGTATAAGAAAGCAAAAAACACCATTTACATTCTGAATTTACATAATCATTTTTATTGTTTTAAGTACGGAATTTGTTATACAGTTTTTACGAATAAATAAACATAAAATTTCATTATTAAATTTGTTTGTAAATTAAATTCCATAAGTTACTTGAACTCATCAGAAGAGTGAGTCTCGAGGGTATGTTATAGGGCATGCCTAGCCCTCGGGCGGCGCACAATAGATCCTTATACGTGGCCGCGGAACACTGTTGCCCTCGCTTTTCAATTCTACAATCTCCAAATTTCACTTTCGATTTAATTTTTTTTTCCATACATCTTTTGCTGTTTTTACAAATAAACATTCCATTGATTCATTTGAATATGCTTTCTTATATATCAATATAATAATTAATTAATTTTATAAATTTCAATTTAATATATATGTACATACATTCAGAATAAATAACTATAGCATATATTATCTGTATCATATGTATAACTAAATATTTTTTAAATTAAAAAAAAAAATGAATTAAAGTTGTAAATTGTTATCTTTTTGTATCTTTACCAGTCATGTTATTGTAAAACAAAGTCTTAATTAACAAAAAAAAAAAAAAAATATTAAAATTAAATGTTAATAAAGAATATTTTTAAAATCTGTTTGTAAATCAAAATGTTTACCAAAAAATTCAAATATTTAAATAATAATCTAATTTATAAAAAAAAAAAACAAGCAAAAATTGAAAATTTATTAGATAAATAAGATTATTACTTTTTTTCGTGTAAATGTTTTAAATGTTATTTTATTAGAAGAAAATATATGGATAAATTCAGGAAAAATATTTCTCATTTTATTTAATTACAATTTTATTATTTGAATTTATTAAAATTTGCAAGAAGTGGTTATAAGTACTATTATTGATTTAATATTTTTATATGCTAAATTATAATCTACTTAGTTAACTATGTATATATTTAGGAGCTTGAAATTTATAGAATTACATCTAGCTGAAAGTTTGAACAAATCTTGATTTGTACTAGCAAAATAACTTTTCATCAAAACCAAAATTCTATGTATTTAAAATCAAAATATTTATTTACATTATGAATGACTTGCAAATACTTTTTTACAATCATTATTTTTATTTAACTTCCTCCAACCTACATAATATTATATGCATATACATCAATCACTAATTTAAATTTACAACTTTAAAAAATAATTTATTACGGTAATAAATAGGTTATTTTAAGCAAAAAATTAAAATAAGAATTGATTTAAAGTAGGTTTTTACCAAATTACCGCTGACACTTAAAACAAATTTTGATTAGATTATTGATTACTTTAATATTATTTAAGCACGACCATATAAAATATTTAAACCAATGTTAACATGAAATAAAAAGTTAAGTGAAAGTACTTGAGATAAAATAATAAACACTCTTTTCTAGAAGTGATTTTTAGATTTAAGTTTTTTTTTTTAATAAATTTCTTTGGAATCGTTTATAAATTGAAGTAATTTTCATTGTACAATTAGTAGTTTGTAAAACCAATATCTGCTAACAACAAAACAACTTAGAACACTGCAGGATTATGTGTAAATTCAAATTATTTAATATAATTTCCATAACTATTATAATATTGAATTCTAGTAATGGTAAACCATTACATTCAATATCCAATAATAGTAATGATGGAGAAGAAGTATGTATAGAAAATCCTCGTTTCGGTCATACTGTTACAATTTTATATAAAGATGAAATTTTCACTGGAGTTGTACATAACGCATATAACGTTCTGACCGTAGGGCATCCTTTTGTCGATGTAAATATTACAGAATTACAAGTTCGTATTGGTTCCACATATGCACATAAAGGAGGTCAATTAATTTCTGTTAAAGAAATAGCATTACATCCGAAGTATTATGAAGATGAATTCACATTTGATTTGGCATTTTTACGGTTAAGTGATAAAATGGACCTTATAAAATATCCCGTACGTAACATAATATATTATAATCAAGATATCACAGAACCAAAAGTGGGAGAAAGTGTCTTTACAACAGGCTGGGGTCAGAGTCACATTAATGGTATCTTAAAAACAGCTAATATCAGTATTATTGATAATAAATTTTGTCATAAGGCGTATAAATACAATGGTAACACAATTTGTGCTGGTTATGAGCCAAATAAATGTGCGACTCAAGTTGATTCAATTGGAGGACCACTTGTGTGCGAACTTAATAGTTATATTTATTTGTGCGGCATTAAAGTGCATGCAAAACATTCTAATAAAAAAAAAGTTTTTCCGGGTGTATATGCAAAAGTCAATCACCCAGAAATTCTGGAATGGTTACGAAAAGGTGGTTTATTAGATGTTGAAGAAAATTACAAATATGTGTAATACTTGTAAAAGTATGCAAAGTAATTAAGTGTAATAAGTTTAATGTTAAGTTTTTTTAGTTTACTGTTAAATAAATGAATATTTAATATACAAATTTATGTATAATTATAACTTAAATATAATAATAGTATGCAGCTTATGTAATGATTCGAATACTAATTAAATAATTTTACAAAAATTAATTTTGTTTTCTTATATGTACCTATATAACACTCAAGTTTATAAAAATACATTGTTTAATAATATTTAAATAGTGTTATGACTTACACACATTTTTATTTTGATGAAAGTTACTTAAATAAAACTAAAAAATTCCGACTTCAAACAATTCCAATCAAGCAAAACAAAATTGGGATTACAAAGATTTCATACGTACATTTTATGATTTTAATATTATATAATGTACAAGATTAAATGAGATGAATGACCTAATAAAACAATAATAATACAAGTATCATATCACAAAAAATTTTATTATTTATTTTTTATCTATTATTTTTTTTAAAAACTTATCAAAATTTTATAAATATCTACATATTATATTTTATGGAATTTGGAATTTCAAAATAGGTAAGTAGTATACTAATTTTAATTTAATAACTTTGAATAAAATAAATTTATTTAGATATTTGAAAATTAACAACACCCCCTCTATCTTCCTCCTCATCATGAATTTCATCTTCAGAATTGTATTTTCTTTCATTTTCATATCCATTATCGGACTCATCGCTGCTTAAATCATGTTCGCGATATGAACCAAAAAATTTATTGACCTTTCTAATTTGTTCATCTGGCAAAATAATGTCACACGTTGGATGTATCGCAGTCCTTGCTGCCAAACGTTCCGCTGCTTGTTTCTCTTGTAATTTCTTAGAATGAATTAAGAAAATACATCAGCGTTTAATATCATTTAATAAAAAAAAATAGAAAACAAATTCTTTGGTTATAATTGAAATAATTGTGCTAAATAATAATTCGAAAAGATGTATTTCGAATAATTTTTACTTTTTTGTTTCTAGTCTAATATATTATTCTTTTATTAAAAATATCGAAAACTTCACTTCTATTTTTTAAAATACTAAGAAAGATAAGGAAATATTTTTAATTGCTTAACAACATTGGAAATAAATAACGTGAAAAGTTGCATCAGATAAGAAAGATAAATTTAATCAGTTCACATGATTACACTTACAATTTTCACAGTATGAATAATATATAAATAAAATTTATACAAGCCTTTTATTTAATTAAATACTTTTGACGATTAATAATTCAATCAAAATGCGCATTTTTGGATTTTTGGTCATTTTTGCCCTTTTTGCTTTAGTTTTTACTGAACAAAATTTCAAAGAACAGCGTAAGTATATATTTATTGTTATAAAAAATAATTTCACACCGCTTTATAAACTTTCAAATTTTATAGCATTGAAAGCGAAATTCGGTACCTGCAGCATTGGAGGATGGGCTTGCCAATTGAACTGTAAAGCAAAAGGATACAAAAATGGATATTGCGATTCAAAAAAAGTTTGCCGCTGTCGCTGATAAAAAATATAAAAATATTCTAAGACGGTGAAGTAGTAAAGTTATGAATAGTAAACAGTGGATCAAACGAAAAGTGTTATAAAAATATGTTTATTAAATTTTGAAGTCATTAAAAACTAATTATACCTTTAATTTTTCTGTATATTCCATCTGTATTTCTACAGAATCTTTAAGAGATAGCATTTTCACACCGGCATTTTGAATTGGTGGTGGTGTTGCAGCTGTTATCTCCCAATATTTACCTCCGACTTTTCTATTTTTCTCTTTTCTTGGATCATGTACGTTTGTTTTAGTAGTTTTATAAGGCAGAAATTTTTCCTTTTTCGGTAAACCATCAACACCTTTTTCTAATAGGTACAAAGCATGAGGTTCCAAATTTAAAGAGCTATTTGAAGAATTTGTTTCACATTGATTTGGTGAATTGCAATTCGATTCAACTAATAGTTTTTCTCTGAATTCATCTGGAATTTCAACATGAATCAAATCTGAGTCTACTACTAATTCAGGTCCATTGCTCTGCGAACTTTTCATTTCTTCTATTTGTTTTAAGTCTTCTTTGGTTATTAAAGATTCTTCAGCTTGAATATACTTCACATGTTTCTTCATATCTGTGCTTTGAGCAATTATTTTGACGGGGTCAATTTCTTCATCATCGCTATCTAATACTACTTCCGTACAATCTTCTGAATTTAGTTTCCCCGTCCATTCCAAATTAGTTAATTTTTCATGACCCGTAGAACTGATATTCAAATCAGAAAAAAGTCTAGCAGCTTCATCAATTTCATTACGTTTTGAAATTTCGATAAGAACTTTCTTGTAAAAATTTTCAATTTTCTGTCCCTTATCTGGTAAATTGGCTAATTGAGATCTAAAATTACAACATGTAATACGACTTCAAAGAACTTATATATTTGTTATACTTCTTTGAAAGCAGTTTTTCTTCGCGTTCCTTTATTTCCAATAATTGTGCTTTTGTTAATTTTGACAAATCTTGAGTAAATTTATCAGCTTTTGTTTTAATTAATTCTCCGGGAATCTTTGTTAACTTCGGACGTAATATAATATCCATGAATAAAATCTAATAATATTAAACTAAAATATTGAGCGAAATTATAAAAAACAATCTACATACGAATTTGTTAATTAACAATAACAACATCTGCCAAAATTCAATCAAAGTCAAATGTCATTAAAGCTGTAGCGCAATGCTTAAAAAAAAATTTAGTACTTAATGACATTCAAACATTTTAGTACTCATAATACTTTGAATAAAGTTGCAACATCTTAATAATTATTAATTATATAAAAATAAAGTTAAAGTGAAAAAATTTTAAATGTTAATTATTAATGTTTAGAAAAATAGTAATCAAAGCTTATAAAAATATGTACAATGAATTTAGCTAAATTCTAAGCCAATCCCCCTTCAGGCTTAGGAAAAACATGTATGTACTTAATTTTAATTATACATAATATTTTGTGTAAAGTTTGGCGACATATTATATTATACATTAAATCATTCATATAATACAAAGTTTACCAAATATGGAAGAAAATGTTTTATTTCTTTTTCTGTTTGTTTATAACAGAGAACTATAAAAGCGGGTTGGCATACATTTTAGGCACTTGTATAATACTAATTATTTTTTAACCAAGATATAATAACGCTTGAGGCTTATTATTTTTTAACTTATTTCTTTAATTTGTCCTTTTATTATGTTTATTGGAACTGTTGAAAATGTCTGATTATTTTCTTTAACTTTTATACATTATACGCTTGGTACTGAATTTTTATAAAATTTTAACAAATTTATATCAATAAAACAGTTATAATATATTATGTACATAAGATGTGGCAGAATTTTTAACAAAAAGTTGTATTTCATGAAATTTGAGTTGAGAATTTCAAAATAAAATTAAGCTAAAAAGTAGACTTAAATTTGTCATTCATAATTTGATATATTATATTTATAATGTGAAAGTCATATACTATTTACTTTTCATGCATATGTTTGTAATAGAAATTTTTAAATTTAAAACACACTATTGCTAAAACTGGTTTTTTTTGATTTTTAAGTTTTTTGAATCGATTTTTTGACATTCATAATCTATTACTTGCAAGAAAAAAATATTTTACCAAAGTTTATAATTTCATGGGGAAAAATTGTGCCGATCTGAGCCATTTTTATATTATTACTAAATGTCAAATTAATTCTGTTGACAACTTTGTATGTTCAACCCTGCACATTATTAATTTGTCTAATTGTCATTATTTTCAAGAATTTTTGACATCATCTTCAGGTTATATGACAATTTTGTTTGCTTATAGGAAAAAAATGGATACTCCGCCGCTGAAACCACCGAGACAAAAAGGTGGAAAAACTATAAAAGATGAGGTATTTAAAAAACAATTTATATGAAATAAAGTAATTATAAAGCAGGATAATATAAAAATAATGTTAATTTAGTTTTGGATCTGTAAATTTTAAAGTAATTGGAATTTTAATATTGATTAACTGGCCCCATAATTTGTTTTTAAAATTTTGTATTTATTATTTATTTTGCTAAATTAATTATACTTATTATATATAATATGATTTTGAAATTTGATTAGAAATTTTTTCAAAAATTCAAATTCCTCCTTAAATTTGTATTAATCATCTAAAGAAGAACACGTCAAGATATGGGCGGAACTGATTTTCTTTGATAACACTGAAACTATGTTTATTTAATTATAGTTACAAACGTCTGGCTTTCTTGTTAACGTTATTAAAACATTAGGATTTAGTGAAACGCATGAAGAACGACAAAATGAAAAAGTGAAAATTGAAAAAGAATTTAAAAAGTCTGATCAGCGGTTAAATGACTTAGTTTCCAAACATGATCAAGATTTGACAAGAGTATTACCTCTGTTTAGTCAAGTTTCTACACAAATAGCTACCAGCAGGGAAAAAATCCATTCTGTTAAAGAAAATTTAATTGCTTGCAAACAACTGTTGCAATGTAAAAGAGATGAAATACAAAAATTGTGGACGGATGCTGTTCAGCATAAATTCGTACTGGAAATGTTAGAAGAAATGTAAGATACATATTTAAATTAAATTTAATAATTGTTTTTCTTGATTTACTCTTTGTTTTTTTAGAAATGATTTAAGGAAAGTACCATCAATTGTTTCAATGTATTGTTGCAAAAGACAATATCTACATGCAACTAAAAAATTAACACAAGCTATTGAAAATGCGGAAGGTCCGCTAGGTGATGTTGATGGTTTAAGTGATCTTCGTGCGGATTTGCAAACACGGAAAATGCACTTATATAACAAACTGCATGAAGAATTAAATAAACATTTATACCAAAATTCTACTGCCGAAGTTTTGAGTAATTTTCAACGTCAGAATTCTACTCGCAACAGCGCTCAGCAATTTCAACGTAATTTCGGCATTCGTCGTTCTACAGATCGTGCGGAAGCTAATGCTCGTGTTCGTAAGGCTTTGGTAGAAATGACGCAAGGCTTTGATTTAGAAAAAAGTGAGGTTGTTGATGATGCTGATCTTGTAGATCCGGAGTTAAGTACAACATATTTTATTTCAATAATTGTTGAATGCTTTGCTATGTTGGAAAAAGTGCCTGATTCAATAGAAACAATTCGTGTACAAATTCAAAATCAATTATTAGAGATTGTCCGTGTAACAACCAATCAAATGATATCATTAAATTTGCCATCAATTCATGGTACTGCATCTGAATTACATCCACTTTTAGCTTTGCTTGAAGTTATTTTTAAGCAATTCAAAGCCGTCGCCCAAACTCATTCGCTTTTACTGAAAAATATTTTGAATGTTACCCAAAGATATTCAGTTCAAGGATGTGGAAACTATGATTTACCTGATTTCTGGCATCAAGCTCAATCAGTTGTAAGTATATTTATATATAAAAAAGTATCTTAAATATGTAATAACAATATTATATCATTTTTAGTTGCAACTCTTATTGACTGATTATTTGGATATACAAAATGCATCCAGTGAAGAAACTTCGCAAAATAATTTCAATGAATCAAATAGCAATATTAATTCGTTCTTTTTGCGAAGAAAAGTCCAAAGGTACATACTTATAAATTCTACAAAAATTTATTTTATATTGAAATATTTTTTAATATAAATACTATATTTATAATGTTCTTACAAAAATTTTAGCGTTCGGCCAACTTATCGATATTATCGGTTTGTAATATAAATATGTTTTGTTAGATTTAATGTTTTGCTAGTTTAAAATTCAGTTTTGATTATTTAAAAACGCGTTAGTATAAACTGCACTCTATAAAAATAATCTTCCCTGATGTTATTTACTTTCACTTTGTAATGCATACAAAAAAATTAGATACTTTCCATATTATACCAGTATAATATTAAAATTAGTTAGTTTTTCAAATTAAATATGTTAATCAAGTTAACTACTTTAGTTTCTTTGCTAAAAATCCATTTATAAATAAATTATTAACGTTTTTTAGTAAAAAGGCGCTTTATAAATTTGACAAGTCAGCATGGCAACAGTCAGATAGTTTACCAAAAGAACATCGAAGAAATGCATCAGATATGTCGAATGATGAAAACATATTTTCAGAAGTTTATAACAGTATGAATAGTGGTAAAAAACGTGAAAGGAATTTAATTTGTAAGGCAGATCCGTCTTTAATAAGAAAAATTTATATACCTTTGGTGTCATATATCCATGAAATTGAAGGATTTATGAAGTGCAAATCTGGGTAGTTCTATTTTTACATGATTTTGCTTAAAATAACGATTTTATATTTTAGTTTGCCATGCAACCTAAGTGATTTTGTATCAAACTATGTTAAAGAAACATACTTGTCTAAAGGGCATTACAGAAATTTGCAAATGACCATTGAATCTTTATCAAAAAATCAAGATGCCTGGCGTACTATTATAACACCAGAAGAAATGAAGCAAATGAACTTAGACAGACCCCTTCTCCAGTCAACAGTACATGTTGAAAGGCAGATATCTGAAACCAAAAGACTTATTCACGACCTTCCAAATTACTCGGAGGATTTATTAAAAATGGTTTGCTCGTTACTGAAAACATATAGAGAAACATGTCAGGCGGCTTATCGCGGAATTGTGCAACCTGATTCTGAAGACAAAAGAATATACAGTGTCGCGTGGTTGAAAGACGATGATATAAATAGATTTTTAAAGTAAATTTTTTGAATTTTTTAAATTATGTTTTAAAAATAACTTTGTTACATTCCTAGGTCGCTTCCAAACTGGACAGATTTAAAAACATCAAGTAATCGTTCTAAATTAGGTAGCAAGCAACTGCGACGTCAAAGCTACGAACCATCAGAAGAAGAAAGTCCAACGCAAGTACAACAACGTAATGTTAGAGAAGCTGAAATGTTAACAAGTAATTTAGGTGAAGGTGGAATCTCACAGTCCGAAATTTTATCTGATATAAGTGTTTTAAAAGAATTGGCGATATTGCAAGAAAGTATGGAGTGGTTTTCCAGTCGTATTTCAGACTTCGCGAGTGACCTTAGGCGACCCATTATAAATGGATTTAATGTTAATGGCGGTTCTGAATATTCCTCAGTTACAATTAAAGATGGAACAATTAAAGTGCTTACTAATTTAGCATTAGAATTCGATGAGTTGGCAAATACTTGTTTGCTTGTGTTACATTTAGAGGTTGGTTAATATTCAAATAAAAATATTTCAATTTAAATATTTTTCGAATTTTTAGGTTCGAGTTCAATGTTTTCATTATTTGAGAACGAAAATTCCTCCCAAATCAAATAACTTTATTGGGCATAAAGAAGACATTCTCGAACCTGATGCTCAAGTTTTAAAATTAACTAAGGTTTTGGCTGATATGGATGAAGCATTAAATGCTACGCTGCATCCTAGAAAAACAAGGGTAAAAAACAAAGAAATTTTAAATAATTTTCAGATTAAAGCAAACTATTGACAACATTTTTCTACTTTAGTATATATTTGAAGGACTTGCTCACTTAGCATCAAGAATTCTAATTCAGGCTTCCAATTATATGGAAAATGTTGATCAAATTAACATTCAGAGGATGTGCCGTAACTCCTTAGCACTTCAACAAACTTTGAGTAGTATTACAGCTTCAAGGGAAGTTGCATTAGACCAAGCAAGAAATTTTTATGAGCTCTTATGCATGGAACCAGATGTAAGCAGTGAAATTATTTGAAAAAAAAATTTCAGGAAATTATTAAAAAATATTTTTCAGGAAATTCTTACCAGTATTGTAGAAAAAGGAAGTCAATTTACTGAAATGCAATATTTAAACGCTTTAAATTTATCATCAAAATCACGTGGCATTAATGATGCAAATAGTTTAGCTTCATATCAACAAAAGCTCTCTGACATATTAGGTGCTAAACCAGCTGATGGTGTTATTGTCTGATAATTTTTTTTTATTATTATTTTTAAGAAAAATCTTTACACAATAAAATTATTAAATTGCAATTATATGCGAAAATAGAAAGATTATGTAATTCCAGATTTTTTTTTTCGAAATACTTTAAGATCCTTAAAATACTTATGTTATATTCATTAAAATTATATACAATTAATTTACGTACCTTTTTTTGGTTTAAAAATTATTAAAACTTAAGTTGTGTAAAATAAATATATTAAATAAATCAGTCTTGTTAAAAATACTAGAGGATATAAAAAATTTTAGTATCTTATTGGGGAAACGAAGAAGTTTTATAATTTGTCTAATTTAATAATTATAGCTTTATGGAACTGTAATTTCATTAAAATTACATTTAAGAAATTTTCTTTATTTAAAGTGTAAAATCAATTCAATTAAAAAAGGAAATTATAGGATTTATAAATAAAAACGTGGTTATAGAATTGTTAAAACTTAGAACGGAAGTAAATAAAAAAAAACAGCTTAAAATTCGCCTTATATGTGTTCCAATGTTTAAGGAAGTGAATATATTGTATTGTAAAACAAAAATTCAAATTCTGAGACACTTTTTGCTTAGTTGAAACATTAAATGTTCATCCATATTCAATAATATTAATAGTAAAATATATAGATATATAAATACAAATTAGAATGTTATTATAAAGTTATATACAAGAATATTATGTACATGTGAAAAATTTGTCCAATAATTACAAATTTGCTTATATTTACGTATTATAGTCAACCACTTTTATTTTATAAAATTTATTCAAAAGGAATTTTCACATTATTGTTTGATTTTTGATTCAAAATATTCCATTTATTGAAGTTAATTGATGATTATTTTTTTGTATCTAATTTTATTTTTGAAATTGAGAATTACAATGTGAACAACAAAATTTTATAAAATTTTTTTTAGATATTTATAAAATTTGAAATTTTTGGGAGAAACTTTTCGTTAATTTCGTTAAAAGAAAATAATAAATACATATGTATGTAATATTATAGATGAACAAATTAAATTTAGTACTCAGTTTCAATTAAAAACAATATAATAATGTATAATAAAAACGAAAGAAATTGAAATATTTCTGTGTATTTATATTGAAAATAATATTAATAAAAGTTGGAAGTTATATTAAAAATAAAACATATATAAATAAAATATATAGACATATAAATTATCAAAAAAACATATTTATGGAAAAAAAAAGAGAAATAAAAAGAAAATAACTAAAATCTTTTTTTTAATTCATTGCATTTAATTTGGTCATGATAGTTGAATTTGTCATATAAAATCGAAATTTTTAAAAAATTTTATATTAAATTTATTTAAGTATACATACTTTATCCAAATCAATGATTTTGGATATAAGTTTGGTGGATCGTAGAATATTCATATTGCAATGTAAATGGCAGGGACTTTGTTGGGCTTGGAGTTAATTCGGACATTAAATTAAGTTTTATTTGAGTGTTTTTTGGTATTTCTCTTATAAAATTAAATATTAATTTTGAATGTTTGTAGAACAAACATAACTATCCTTTTGTAAATAATAAAAATAGGTGGGGGGGGGGGGGGGGGGGGGGAACTTGAATTTTTGAAAATGAGGAATGGTTAAACAATCTATTTTTTCAATTTGGAAAAAAAATGAAAGTTTTTTATTTTAAAATATATATATACAATAGAAATGTTTGTGGATTGTAAAATATTAAGCAGAATATAAAAATCAATATAAAAAAGAAAAATAAAAGCAACACATGTTTTTGTTCTAGTAGTTTTTATACAATGTATATTTTTATTTATTGTGCTTTTTTTTATTAGGATAAACACATTTTGGCACATTTACATATAATATAAATATATTTTCTCTTTTAGTTTAAAAATCATTTTTTTTTTTAACTTTATATTTATGCATAGTTTATATGTATTACATATTATTGTTATATAAATAACTGATATAAGTATTTACGTGCAATAAATAATTTTATATATAAAAAAATGTTTATGTCTATATAATAATATTAACTTATATATACATAGTGTTTTAAAGAAATGAATAATTTTACAATTATAACAAAATATTCATTTTTAAATTTTAGTTTACAACTATTGGACACTGTGCATAAAAAAACAATAATGGTATTACCAAAATTTGAGTTTTTTATTTAGTTTAGGTTATATTATTTTATAAATTTGAATTCAGATTAAAAAATAAATTTCAATATTTATGCAAATTGCATACTCTAAAATTTTTTCTATTGAAACCTTGTTTCTTTAGTAATTTTTATTCTAAGTAATTAATTGTTTCAAGTTTTTTTTTTCTGTGTTCTGCTTTACAAAATTATGATTATTACTTTGTTCAATCAAAAAAACAAAAAAAGGTTTTTTTTTCTCTCTCTTTACTTTTTAAATTTGCCATAATAGCAAATGATTTGTACTATCTTCTCGTCCAGCGATTTCACTTGGTGAATTTGAATTCGAATTTCCAAAATTTTCATAACCATCGCCGCCTGATATAATTAAAGTTTTACCAGCTTCAGCTTTTGTTTTATCTTTAGTATTGTGTATTGTATTTCTAAAATGAAAAATAATTTTATTATTCATTAAATATATTCGATTTTTATTTTAATTTTTATTTTGGTTTGTTCATGGATGGTATTTAACAGTTTTGATATAACAAGAGGCGGGAAATAATATAATCAACAAAAAATGTAGTCTGGAGTATTTCTTTTTAAAAATACATTAAGAATTTAGTATAATTTAATATATTTCACATAATTACCGTTTTGATTTCCTATCTAAACTGCTATCAACACTTTTACTACTATATTTTGATGTGGTCATACTACTGCTATTTAAATTATTACTACTGCCAATTTCACTTCTTGTTCTACTATTACTTCTATTATTACTTGTATTACTATTTCCAATGCTATTATTATTATTATTATTGTTATAATTATTATTGTTATTATTATTATTATTTAAATTATAACTATTATTTGATGATATTGTATCAAATTCTTGATTATCTGATGATATTATTGATGATGTTGCAGTAATTATATTTGATTCAACACTAGTTAAAAATCTTACATGACCGGTATGACCGTGTGGTATACCAGTTACAATTGGTATATTATTTGTTTGACCTTTTATATATGATTGAGCTGGTATAGTTAATAATACACCAGCACTTGTTCCGATCCATATTAAATCCTTACATGCTAATAAGGATGTTACACGTAAACAAGCTGCTTTATGTTGTCGTATTATGTCGTCACAATTTGATAACATTTTATTAACTGATGGTGCTAAATTAACTTCGAATATTAATTCATGACTATAAAATAAAAAAAAAATTATTTAAAAAGTATATAAATTAATATTTTAAATTTAAATTATTAGTTTTAGCTGAAAGGCCCGCAATTTTTTTAAATTTCAATTATTATGCTCATCATCAATTATTTATTAGGTGAAAATTGTCTGAATATAGAGACAGAATAGAATAGAGAATATAAAACATTAATCGAGTATTAGTAAATAATTGATTAGCTACACATTGCTTTTATTTAATTGTAATATCTTTGTACTAACTGTTTAATAAACTGTTAGTATGAAGAGTGCTGTGTACAACATTTTCATTAAAGAAATTTACCTTATTCATTTGAAAAAGATAAATTATAGTTTAAGGAGCGATTTGATATTCTTTATAATTTTTAATTTGGTACAAAATATTATAATATATCCTCCATTTTGTACATTTCATATTATGTAGAACATAGATATAGATAATTTAATTTTATACAATATTATCGCAATCATATTGGTCTCTAAATTTACTAATTAATAGAAAATAATTTATTGAAGAATGTAAACTATAGTACCTAATCTTCATAAATTTAGAAGTTAAGGGTTAAATTTTTATTTTATTCAATTTTGTCTGTTGATTAATATTTTCTAAGAGTAATTTATTTTTCCATCACTCACCTAGTGGAATGAAAACATTTAATTACAGCTGAATTTTGTATTGATATCCATACACAATTATTACATATTGCCATATTTGTAATTGGTTTAGAATCTGAAGAGATTTGTATTGTGCTCTCAACCTAAAATAAACAAAAGTATTAAAATAATTAAAAAAAAAAATAATTTATAAATTTTCAATTTAATTTATTTTACAATCGAAATATGTATTTATTATTTTGTAAAATATACCTGTAAAGTTTTTGTATCTAAAACTTTAATTGTTCCTTGTATTGTACACCAAAGTTTTCCATTAACATTTAATAATTTATTGACAGGACTTGAAACAGTTCCAATTGATATACATAAAGGATGAGATGTGTTCCAGCCAACTAGAAAAGGATTAATAAAGGTAATGAAATTAATAATTTACTAATTTTTTTTTCAATTTCAAAACTAATTAAATATAAAATGGAAAACTTACCATTATCCCTTAAATAAACACAAATATCACCATTTGCTAATGAAACGAAAACTCTATTGTCATAATATCTGCAAGAAAATTAAATACAAAAATACAATAATTTTCTAAATTGATATATGTATATAAAAAATAATATGTATGTAATAATGATGTGATAAAACGGGAAATTAAAGGTTATGTCTGTTGTAAATTTGTATTTTATATGAATATTAATATTCAATGAAATTATTGATTATTCTTCATCAAAATTGTATGTATGTAGTAGAATTAAAGAAAATGAAATAAATAATGGTCATATAAAAGGTAATGATGAGTAGAACAATTTATGATTAATCTTCAAGATATTGGATGACATTTTTGCAAAGTATAATTTCAATTACACATATCTATTTGCAAGGACATGTAATATATTGTAAGTATTACATAATATTTATAAATGGGTACGTAAATCGAAGAAATATGTTAAAAATTATTTTGATTTTAGGTTTCTTATATTATAAAATATTGTTATATTTGTTCATAGTTATATTCTTGTACACTTATATTCTTAATTCTTATAAAATATTAGACACAATCTATATTGAGAAAGCGGAAATATCTCAATTTTCTGGATTTGATACATTAGTAGTCGAGTAGTAAATGGAGATTTGAGATTTGGTTTGAGCAGAAATATTTTTATTTTAATTGAATAATTAAAAAGCGACTGTATTATAAATGCAAAAATTAGGCAAATTCAAATATTCTTATTTAATTTTAAAGAAAATTGTTGATGGGTACATGAAAATACAACCTTAAAAAAATGAAATGTTATAAAAAACTTTTGAAATGTTTTTAATGCAAACACATTTTAAAATTTAAAGAAAATATTTCTAATCAAGACAAATTAAGCCTCACAGAATTTTTAGATTTATTCAAAATTGAAAATGTGTTTTAAAAGAATGACTTACAAAATCGAATAAACCGACGATAAATGTTCAATTTTAATTTTATTTTTCTTAATTCGAATGTTATCTGTACTATTATAAACATGTATGCATCCATCTTCAGTACCTAACCACATTGTTGATTGCTGAGATTCCATATCTTCTGAATTAGAGTCCTAAAAATATGAAAAAATATGAAAAATTTGAATTAAAACTATTCTAAAATATCTTATTTATTAAATACCTGATGTTGATGATGAATAGTTGATAAATTTGACATTGATGAAATTGTTTTTGGTATAGGACTTGATATACGATTTTCTGGATTTGTAATATTGTTTGAATCCAATATAGTATTTATTTGATTTCCACCAACATTAACATTTCCTGATATATTGGTTTCATTATTAGTTCCACTAATATTACCTAATTGTTCAGGATCTGAATCATCACTTGAACTATTTGAGTCTAATTGAATTTCATTTAAATCACTACCAGTTGAAATACCTGCTGGCATACTATTTGATTCTTTTATATTTGCTGTTACTGTTGTTGTTGTTGTCGCAGTTGTATTTGATGATGATGAAGTTTTCTTTGAATTATCCGAGGAACTACTATTTCTACAACTTTGTGGCGGTTCTTCTGTTGATGATTGACGACTTTGTGATTTTCTTCTTTAAACGAAATTCAAATTTTTTTTTTTAATATTATATAATACAGATATATATATATACATTTTGATATAAGAATTTTACTAACGTTTCTTTATATGCTGGTACAGATGCAATACATAATATTCTTGCATTACAAACTCCATTACAACTTGAAACAGTTGGTGGATTTTCTTGTATACTTAAAACAGCAACTTGACCAATATAACCATCACTATTACATACCCAAACATCTTTTTGATCAGTTAATGTTGGTGCTGCACATGTAAACTGGAGACCGGCTCTAGTTTTTCTTAATGCAATTGATCTTAAAAATTCAGGAGTAGGATGTCGTTCAAGACAGGCCGCTATTTTTATAATTGGAATGCAGGATTAACAAAGCAATGCTGAATTGTGGTGAATTGCAAATTACCTAATTTTTGTTTAGCATCATTGAATATTTCTTCCCATTTGGCCCGTCTTTCTGCTTTACTAAATAAAACTGTCACATGTTGACTATCACCCCTAATAAATTTTGATATTCAAACGAATATGAAATTAATATAAAAAAATAAAGATAAAATTTTTAATTTATAAGATAATTTTTTAACAATTAACTAAATTTTAAAATAATTAAGTAAAATTAAATGATTAAATGGAAAATATTTGCAATAATTCGAAAATTCTTCAAGAATTCAATGAAATATAATTTTTCGATATAATTTTAAAAGCACACCTATGGTAATTTTTTACATTGAAGAATGTTGACTAAGGAACAAAATTTGTTGGAAGATAATCTTCCAGAAATTGATAGTTATATGTGGTTAAGAATTTTTAAAAGCGCTAGATAAAAATCGATTTATGAAGGTAGTGAACTAAATGGCATATTTTATTTAATCTATTTGTTTCTTTAATAATTGGATTTTTAATTGTAAAACTCAAAATAAGTTTAGGAGAATTAATTGTGTAATTTATTTGTATTACGTATGTATGTCGTTTTTTTTATAAAAACTTACGGTATATTTATCATAAATTTTAATGAATTTAATTGGCCATCATTTAACTGTCTTTCACATTCAGTCAAACGTGTTTCAACTTCACTTAAATAATTTCGTATTGTTTGTTCTAGAACTTGATGTAAAGCTGATTGAAATTTTATTGATGTTTGAATTTGATCAATTTGCTGTATTTTATTACGATCATCAACTAATTGTTCATAATCCTTTTCAATACGTCGGGCATTTTCATCTTGAGCTGAAAAATTGTAGAAACGGAATATCAACAAAATAACAAATAAATTTCAAATATTTTTTTTTTGTTTTTTAATTTTAAATTTACGTTAAATTAAATTGAATATAAATTTAAACTTACTTTTGACAATTTCCACATATTCTATTGGGAATTTTCTTAAAAATTTATATTTAATATTTTCGAGTGTAGAAGCAAAAGTGATGTCAAGTGTTGAAGTATTGCTCCTATATTTATAAAAGAAAAGAAGATTATTAATTAAAAGAATAAAGATAATAATTAGCGTTTATAATCCGCTCTAGTTTACAAATTTAATAAGATTCTCTAATTTGATTTATATATAAGCATTATATAATACCTAAAATCTTGTTTTTTAATTGCTCCACTACGTCTTTTAATACTGGTTAAAACAAGCAAATCACTAAATAAAAATAAGCCTCGCATATGATTTGATGTATGATTTGATGGTAATTGAACTAAATCATATATTAAAAATTGTCTCTCTGGTGCAACTAAATCCGATATTCCTTCAATATATGTTTCATATTGTCTTAAGGCATCTTCACGTTGTCCATTTTCATTTATCTCTTTCTTTTTACAATCCAAATGTACTAAAATATCATGAACTAATTTAAGGACATCCTGTATTGGTTTCTGATCAATATCGGAATCAGTATGTTTTAATAATCTTGTAAAAAGCATTTCATAGCTAAAATTAAAAAATAAAATTTTTATAATTTTTATAGAAAGTTGATAAAATACAAATAACTTACTTTACGAATTTTTGTATCGGTTTTATAAGTAAATTATCCAAAGTTAATTTACCCTTTTGTTCTCTAGCCGTTGATTCTAAAAATTTACCAAATGCTGGTCGAGCTTGTACAGCTGTTTTAACCGCTTCATGTGCTCGATCACGATTATTTACAAAACAAGTATAAGTTTCAAGTACTTCTGTTTGAGAAAACTGTAAAAAACGTAAATAAAAAAATTTTGGAATTTTTTTTTTCAAATTATATAATAAATTGGATTTTTTTTGCATTTACCGTCTCGAGGAATGATTCACAGCATAATGTTGGATCTAATGGATCTGATTTCGATTTTAAATCATTATAATATTTTTTATGTATTGATAATAATTCAGTTGTCATAAAAAAAATTTCATCAACAGCTTTTGTATCAATTAAACCAGCAGATTCTGGGGTCTTTAATACATTATAATACTTTGTAACAATTGTTGTTAATGCATCAACATATGATGCTTCAGTTCTATAAATTTCTTCAACTATATGATTACGAGTATCCTGAAAATATGAAAAAAATTTTGAAATATTTGTAAATAATAAAATTTAATATTAGGAAGTAGAGTTTTATTGTATAAATTTTGGCATTTTAATATAGTAGACAATATTTCATTAATTGTGAGTATTGAAATTGAAAACTAAGAATATATATTTTACCAAAATTTTCATGTTGTGATATTATAACTGTTTTATAAATCGTCCCAAAGGAATTGAATTATATATTAATTATATATAAAATAATTGCAATTTTCGCTTTAGAATTTCTTCCCTTCTTAGGTTGTTAATAGGGATGAAATTTAAAAATTACAGAGAGTTTTTAAAGATTTGAAAAGACTTTATAATTGAAATATAAATAATGGTTATAGTTTTCCACATTTTTAAATAATTATGTTCAATAGTATAGTAAGAATATAATGAATCCATAAATTTTTATTATTATGTCTCATTAATTTGCATAACGCTATCAAAATATTAATTGTGATTAAAAATTTATTATAAATTATAACTTAAAGCCTTATCACAATACTAAATAATCAAAGAAAATCAAAATAATTATGAATTCTTATTACCCAACTATTACTTCTAAGCATTGTGTACATATTGTGTACATATTGTGTAACATATACTATATAGGTTTTCTTATATTTCTTTACTATATAGGTGTATTAAATACTATAATTTTAAGTTCAATAATTGCGTACTCATGTACCTATCTGAATTTACGTAAAAAATTTAACAAAAGAAATAAACATTCGCATTATTTACATATGTAAAATTACATTACGTATATATATATATGTAGCATATGGGCTTTTCTTATAGATAAAAAAATAGATTTCATCGCATTTGTCTAGCTAGAGTAATCGCGTTCTACGTATGTATATCTAAAAGAAAATCAAAGAAAATACAATATTAACAACAATATGCGATGAGACAAAAAATTGTAAAATTGTTGTTTTTGTTTTGTATATTTTATTATTAGAAAATATTTGTAATAATTATTGTAAAAAAAAATCATATAAGTAATAAATTAAGGTAACCATAATTTTTTTATTAAAATTAAGTAACAAAATAGTTATAGGCCCAAATTGTAGATTTAATATTTAATAATCATCAATAATGAACGAAAGGTGAATTATCGTGTATGTTTTTATTTTTACGATCTTGCTATTTACCTCTCACAAAGTTTACCCAATATGATCCTCACAAAATTTTTCTATACCTTACAATATCTAGTACTTAATTTTTAAAGATTTTAGAAGTTCCAGATTTCAATTTTAAAAACGCGTAAATCTGAGTTAAGATTAACTGATTCAAGAAACAAAATTCAAGATCAAAAACTCGTTTCATATCGGCGAGTATTTGTATATTTTGTATATAACTACTTACGTATATAAAATTCTATTTTTTGCAATTAAAATACAAACATAATTTCGAATTCTAATGACACATGAGCTGTGGTCACTTTAAATATAAAATACACAATAATATCTAAACTAAAAATAAAACAAAAAAAAAAGAAAAACTACTAAAAGAAAAGAACTAAAAAAAAATATTAAAAAAAAACCTACACATGTGTAAAAAAAAATGTTGTTTTTACAATTATTGTGTCGCGTTGAATGAGCGCCAAGAAGACGCACGACTTTTTCTTCAGTACTATATAATCTTTATGAAGTTAACCTAAAAAGTAAAAAAAAAAAAATTGACCCAATTTCCTAAGAATTGTGAAAAATAAATAATATTTACAATTCGCAAGGGAATTTTTCTTTTTAAAATGATTCCTTCGTATAAAAAACAAAGCAACAAAAAAAATTGCATTGCAGGTGTTCATATTCTAATGAATTAGATTTTTAAATTTTCAACTTTATAAGAAAAATACATATACAGAAAATTTCTATGTAAGTATAAGTAAAGTAAGTGTTGCGAACAAACAATTTAAATTTCAATGTAAAAAAAATTTTTAAAGTTAAATAATTATTTTATGTTTTTAAAATTATTAATAAAAAAATTTTAAAATTTACAATTGAAAAATTTTTAATATACGATAAAAAAATACGATATAAAATACGATATTACATTTTGTAAATATCAAACATAATAATGTACATACAAAAAAATTGTGAAAGAGGGGGGGGGGGCGAATAAGATTGTTATATATCATTTTAAGGGTGGATCATCCCGTAGAATTTATTGGAATAAAATTCACTGAAATTCGTCAATTTTTACATACTTTATTACATTCACTATTAAAAGAATAAAAATGAATTATATGAAATATTTATATGTTTGTCACTATTGCTATGTCACTATTGCTATATACTATGTATATTAGGATTTCTCAAAACAAACATGTTATACTCTATATATTTTTTATTTATCATTAAAAATTTCATATTGCGACTTCTTTTCTATGATCCTTATAGAAAAAAAAAAACAATAAATTATTATTTATTTTAATAATTATGTTAAACTTAAAAATGTGGTTAAAGTAAACAAAATCAAGGTTATATCAAGAATTATTTTTTTACTGTTTATGAATTTTATGCAAAAAACTACGCATTTATTAATAAATAATAGCTTTAAAATTTAATAGTTCTAAATAAAATTGCATTTAATCTTAGACTATAGTGGGTCTATAGTTTCTATTATTATTATATTTAAATATGTATCTAAATACAATTTATATTTCTTAAAATTACGATATTTCATTGATATAACCTTTAAATTTACGTTCTTGTATTTCGAAACATGAATAACAATGACAGTGTGAAGTTTCTTTAATTTATCAATGAGTACCTTTGTTTAACAAAACAAATTCTTATATTTATATAAAGAGTATTGTGATTGCTATATAGCTAAATTCATTGAAACACTTTAAAAACACCATAATTTTGGAATCTATTTATAACCTTCGTTTCGAACTAGTTATTTAGTTTTTAATTCCTATTAGCTCGCTCTCAATATAACTTTTTAAATTTAATTATTAATATTGGAAAAATCGGAAAATGAAGACTCGTACTGTAAGATATGTTATGCAACAAATATATTCCATTATATATTTTGAAATATATTTGAATATAGATGATATTAACCAATTAAAGAACATGATCGTAAAATGAAAACCTAAACGATCAAACAAATTTTTTAAAGTAATTACATTTTAACAAGTTAATTAAATATAATTGATTTTTTTTTTCTAAAATTGTTCAAAAAACAATTGGTCCTTAACGTGTTAATTCCTTAATCTTATATTAGTGAAATATATAAACTCATTTTATTAGAGTATAATTCAAATATTATAAGAAGTAAAAGTGTTTAATTGTGAGACATTATTAATATTTCACCGACTATATATTGAATTCCTAAAAGTATGCAAATGAAAACTATCATTGACTTCTATATATACATATACGGATATATATGTATATAGCAAATATCGTTTTCATATTATACAATCTTAAATGATTTGTGAATTTACGTTTAAATAATAATTATTATTTAATTATTATTTTTGGCAAATTAATAATTTTTCTTTTCTGTACTTTTTCTGTACATTTTTTTTCTTGTTTTTTTTTTCTGTATTTTGACATTTCGACATTTCATAATATACTGTCAATAATCTTTTCAATGTCATTAAAATATTTTACTAAATGGCAAACAAAAACAAAAAATTCTTTTACGTTCACGTACATTATTATACTATATATACATTTGTGTATACATACTTATACCAAATACATATATACGCGTATATATATACGTGTATTTTCATAAATTTCATATAATTTTCATTCAAACACTTCATATTCTTTCAACTGAAAAGTTTTTTCACTTCGAAGATAAAATTTAGAAAATATTTGTACATAAATATTTTAAGAATATATTTGAAAACTATATATCAAAAAATTAAAAAAAAAAAAATATAATAAAAAATTAATAAAATATAACATACATTCTATATACATACATGCAAACATACGTACAAATTTAAATAATCAAAATTTTACTTTTAAAATATAACGTTGACCGTTGAAGGTTGACTATCATATTATTTATAAGAGCAAATTCAAAATATATATATTTTTTTTTGAAATTTCAAATACACGAGTATATTAAAAAAAAAAGAAATATTTTTTATTAAGGTTTAATTTTTCTCTTGAACACAATATTTGTTAACATTTTGCTGTGCAGCATAAAATTAACAAACATAACTCTTGTACCACTATAATGAGAATTTATAAAACCTTGATAAGACCAATCGCCAACTATGGGTCTGAAATTTCGACATTGACATCGAATGAAGAAGAAAAACTCCCCATATTTGAAAGGAAAATTCTTCGAAAATTTTGTGGATCGAAAACATTGAGCGTTGGAACCTTAAGTAATCATGAGTTAAACGATATAATAAACAATGCAGATATTGTCAGGTTCATTAAATCGCAAAGGTTAAAGGGGCCACATAAAACGAATGGAAGATGATAGAAAACCGAAGAATGTTTTGCAATATAAACCCGACCCAGCAAGAAAACGAGATAGATCTAAAAAGAGGTGGCTTAATGATATTGAAGACGGTATAATCAAAATGGTCATTGTAAATTCCAAGAGAAAAACAACATATAGGAAGAGATGTCATGGAGGCAAAAAAACATCCAGAGTTGTGAGCCAAAAGAAGAAGATGAACTCTTGTACTACTTAATTGCATCAAATTTTCAATAAGATAAATAAAAAAAATTTAAACGTTGTTAAAATGCATATACAGTAGAACCCGTATATAAGCAACCCCTACAAAAACAAAATTGATTTGTTATGTTTTTCTACTTATTTGTTTGTCACACTAATTTACACATTGGCTACAAGTAAAAAATTACCTATTTCATCATTTTGCTTAGGTCATTTTGTAGAGCAAAATAAACCTTTAGCTCTAAAACTTTTTTAATTTCATCTAATGTATTGTTAAAGTATTCGAAATTTCATTTGTATCTCGCGTTTTCATTGCAATC